ACTATCTGTTATTTTAGAAAAACTGATGATGGTGGAAAAATACACCGAAACGTATTTTGATTAATAAATAGAGACAATAAATGACTGAAACCCAGGAAAAGATTTGATTTCGAATTGAAACACAGTCAGGAAAGTATATACAATAAAATGACAATGTTTTTTTATGTTTAATGTAAAACTTCAGATAAATTCAAATAAAAATATATGGACTTACGACAATTCTAACTTTAAGTAGTAATACATTACATACAAGTATTTGACGTTTAATCTGATCGTCCTTTTACCTCTTTGCCCTTCCGATTTATAACATCAATTGGCCGATAAATTCAGCTACCTTAGAGGAATTATTTAGGGACGGACCAGAAAATTCTATTTTTACGACTTTGGCCTCTGTAAAAGATAGGTACTTTGTACTGTTGCCTAAGCCTAAAGTTGCTTTTGCTTCGTATTATTATTGTAATTATATTTGTTTTGCTTTGAAAGACTCAGCAAATATTTATAATTTTTACATTGAATGCCTTGACATTTTATATTTCGCCGAACAAATTTGTGGAAGATTAAAGTTTGTAGTTCAGTGGGAAAATGCACACTGAGATGAAAGAGATTACTTACTGCCGGCAGACAAGATATCCGGACCCCAAAATCTTGATGCAGACTTAGACTTTTCACCATGGCATGCTTACTATTTCCGCTTAGTGCCTCAATCCTGCTGCATTTCGCTTTGTACAATGTTATGGAGATTTAACGCATGGTAAATTATTGTGAATATTACTCATTGAAACTATACGTTTTCTGTTCTTAGGTTTTTGTACCTTCATGGGTTTCTATTGTATCATGTTGATCGTCGCTAGACTGCTCATATTAAATATTGTAATAGAAACACTTCGATATCACATTGGATTTGTGAGTGGAGAGTAATACTTAGAAACAATCAGGAGACTAAGTAAACAAATGTTTTAATGTTTTTAAATGTACCTGCTATTGTATTTCACGAGTGATCGCAATTCGCGTTTCATAGATTCAGGTGAATTATCAATTCCATATTTTCGCTCTTATTAAACACCAAAAGTTGCATTTTTCGTCATTTTACTCAAAGACATTAATAGAGAAATTTCTCCATTTACGAGTCCAACGAGTCCATTTCCCCTTATTATAATTTTACTATCAAATAATTCCCTCATTTGCGCTGTGTTAACAGGTTGGCTTTTTGCGAGCTGTAGAGTTTGGAACAGTTTGTTCTCGTTTTCGGGCTTCTTTCTCCAAGCAACTACCTAGCTTGAGCAGAACCACGTCTTGCCCAACTGCAGCACTTCTGAGCTTCTCAGATGCTCTCTCAACTGATTGATCAATATTTTCAGAGTTTGTGCCAATTAGATTACATTGGAAAGAAAGAATAAAAAACTGATGAAATTTGAAGGTTGTCTGTTTGGGATTCAAATAAAGTAACGCCTGACCAATATTAATGAAAAGCCAACGCGTAAAGATCTAAACGCTCATAAATACCCTCGATTTGTGGTATCCCTGCTTTTCGGATATCGATCTTGTCCTTTTGATAAATGGCTTTCCTGTTAAATGCCTCTCTGACGGATGGAAGGATATGGATTTACAAAGCAGAAAAGTGAATAGAGGACCGTTCGAGTTTAACGGCCTTTGAAGGGCAATTTTATTTCGTCTTAATATATTTCAAAAACGAAAATTTCCAAGCACTATTAAACTGTTCGATTAAAGATTAAATTTTACTTATCGTGTAGCTGCACTTGCTATAAAAGTTTATCACACTGACAAAAATTAGTTCATGTTTCGAAATATTATAGAAATAATATAGTTTAAAAAAATATGTTTTATTTAAAATTAATACAAACAATAATACATTTACTGAAATTTAATGATTTAACTTGTGACCGAACCTATCCGTGGAACATTGACTACCTTGTGGCTACTTATGACTTCTTATGACTGTCTGCTGACCGAACCTCTTATGACTGAATGCTCGTTTCTGCTGGGGCTTCTTTTATATATTAATTGTGCTGACCTTAGCAGAAGCGATAGTAATTGCGTCTTATTTTAAATTTATTTTGGGCATAAGTGGCCATATAGTTACGGGAATAAACTTTTTATGCTAAACTAAATGATCTCGGACTTTTGTTCGATTTTTATGAACCTTTGCGTCTGTCGAGCTAGATATGTTGTGTAGAACCATACTTAGATACTCCGACGGAATACAAAACTTGTTTTTCACACGAGCTCTCGATTTAAGATTTTGCTCATATTTTATGAAACGTGAAAAGTCATRAAGTCAATTATTGATTCAACCAATTCAAGGTATCACCACATGATACCTTSAATTATCCTTAGAATTCCATATGGAATTTAAAGAAAATAATWRAAGCCAGGTGCTTTTAGTTGAAAAAAACCTTGAGGTCCTACGTATTTTTTAACTAATGACAAATGCCTATTTTTATTGACAAATGCTTTCTACCTGTAACTATCTGTTAATGACAAAAACATAATTGCCGCTTTGACTTTTCATCAAAAAATTGTAGATAAATACTTTTTTAATTTAAAAAATTTGAAGTGAATATGGTGATTTCTATTTTCAAATGTTTAAGTATTTCCATACGCTACCAAGCAAACATGAGACCATTTAAAAATAATACTTAATATCATTCGACTTTCAACTGTTAATATCTTCTAGAAATTTGCGGAAAAAAGTTTTTTTTCTTTGCTTTTTTCGTACTTTCCAAGTAAAACCCTATAACCTCCTCAAGGAAAAGACGCCAATTTTGAATCACTCTGTATACCTATTGCTTAATACAAGAGCACTCACTACGATGTTTTATAAAAAAAATTGAATTTTTTTTTGTGGTATGTAATTAAAACTTGTTTTTTCCTTATAGCGCACAATCAACGATCAAACTGAAAGTCAGTAAACACCTTTTTATACAAGGAAAAATGAAACTGCGATGTTCGGCAACTATGTACCATCTATACCATAGAAGTTCCGAGAAAAGTATAGAACTTCAAAAGAAAAGGCACAGGTTTGTTTGCAAATATATTTTACCTATTAATCTTCTTCTAAGGAGCTAAGATGTTTTTAGTTTAAACAGAAATTCGCAACAGTTTCTTTACGTTAGCAACACCTAATAATTACGTTAACCACAATTAATTGCCAAGTGGATAGATTTTGGGTATGACTATTATTTGTCTTCAATTGCTGGTGAACTCTTTAGTTTCTTCTGATGTTTGATGCATAAGTCTGTCGGCTATCACAAATCATTCTTTAACTGCACATTTATCTTGTCCCCATAAAATGTAAAGACTTCGCACACAGTCAATTCGTCTGCAACCTCCAGCTATTTACTTTGCGCCCTCGACTATAAATTACGTTCTTTTATTCTCCTTTTGTTTTCGCATTTTCTATTGTGCAAAATGCTATATTAGTATTTTACATATAGCACTAAGTGGGTACAGCAATTTCGAATCTGTTCTTACTATGACTGAACTTCTTCTTAGTTTAACTACAGTATATCTATATATATCTATAGGCTGTTTGGATTTCCTGCTTTGATTTGACAAACTTAACTAACTTTGGCGTCTTAAAGCAGAAGTATTCCGCCTGAATAGTATCGCATTTTAAGGCAGATTAGCCAGAGAATAGTTTCCGATTTCTTTCTGTTAATTGATAAAAATGTGTAGTAGTTGACTCTATTTTGGAACGAATAGTAGTTTACTCACATAAACAGGATACCAAAATTTACAATTTAGAGTATAATGGAAATGTAAAATATACTTAATTAACTCAAAGTACATAACCGATTTTTGATGAGATTTAGTTGCTTTTCTTTATGTTATTTGTTGATGGCAATTCAGACTTATGTTAATGTATTCATTTCTAGATCATCCGATGTTTGGTTAGATGACATTACGACCACTGACGCCCCATCTGAACTGTGGGAAATCCCAGATGAACGACCACCACAAGCTACTGGTAAGTGTGGAAATACACATTTGTTCTTGATCTTAGTGGTACTTATAACAAACTAATTTTTTTCTTTGAATGAATACCCATGCAATGAGTACTAATTGCAGTATAGTTTTGTCTGCACTGCGTTGATTGAAATGCCGAACTACGCGTTCTTCAATTTTAGTCTCGCAAATATCACATCGATTTCGTCTAGAAATTCTAAATAAACACGCTTTTCCTTGTTAGTATGCAGTGAAGTGTGGTCGCATCTGGCTTGTCGAATGAAAAATATTATTAAGATGCTCAGGGCATCACCAAAAATGCTTTCATCTACTGCTATGCGAAGTCCGAAGGTGTCAAGAAATTAAGCGTTTATACATGCACTGTACCCCCTTTATTTTTTTGGTTTAACAGCTGGCAAGAAGCGAATCTTTTAACAGTGGAATTATGTCTACTTGAATAACTTTGACCAAATGAAAGCATGCTACTACAATGTACCTTTCATTGACAAATAATTTAATTAATCAATGTGGCACATGTTGGAATATAGAGCCAATCAGAATTCGTGTCATTCCTGTAACGAGTGTACGAGTATATTTAGTAAAAATATTTTCGAATTGTATCAGCAAATGGCCTTTCTAATATTAATTTTTGTAAAAATGTACCTCTTTATCCAAATGGCTTAAACATTTTTTTTACCGATGGTCCTATAGATTCGAGTTTCACGTAGGTTGGGAAGAATTCAATGTCGTACAATTAATTTTTTTCCATTGGTTGTCCACCGCAATCATTACATTAGTTTTGCGATAAATATCCATATATGGTCAGCGCACTATTAGTGTATTCCCTCAATTTCAAATGATTTAAATTAATAATATTTAGATTTGAGCGCAAAGTTTTACGTAAAACAAAAGTTAAAAATCAGAACAAACTACAAAAAAGAAATAAAATTCAGGCGAAAATGTGCAAAGTTTTTAGACCGATTAGGGTGGAGTCTTTCTTCAACTGACTTTATAAGTAAGTAAGACATAACGAATGAATCAAATTAAGTGGACACAGTATTAACAAAACTGTAACTTTCTGTGTACTTTTTATGGTTTCACATTTTTATTCAACTTGAAAATCAGCTGAAATTACAGACCTACAATCTGTTATTCAACAAACATGTAGCCTTAAACACATTTTCCAAAGTGTACCAAGCAAGCGGCAATGCTATCTATAATGAATTCCAATTTAAATTTAATTAGTGTTCCAAATAGCATGAACACAAAGCAGGAAAAGGAAAGGCAGTAATTGATAATACGGGTTGAATCAAAACGACGAATGTTGTCACGTTTTAATTGGCATGTCGCATCAATTTGGAAAATAAAAATAGTTATTTTAATTGCAATGTCAGTTCTAATTGAATATAGATCTGTTGACCTATCATTCCTACATAATTGTTTTTGGTGGCAAAATTAATTAGATAGTGAACTTATAGCAATGCTTCAAGTTTCTCGTCTCTGATTTATGCCCATTTCATAGACGATGCTTTCGATATCTCTAGTAGTTATGAAACTCCGGTCCAATTTGTGAGAAATACAGCTTAAAATGGAACTTTTGTGACTGGAAACCAGTTGTTCACTTTTCACCATTAATTAGCGTTCTTCTTTTCGAACTTATTTTTATGTAATTAACGTCTGCTTCATTGAAAAGGTCAACTGATTTCCTTTTTTTGTCAATACTCGTTTTATCAAACGGGCAGATTACAAGACTTGAGTACAAGAGCGATTTTTGTCGGATAACGTCGAATAATTAAATGTATGTCGCATACTCGCTCTTCAATTGACGAAGTTGAATATAGCGAGTTTTACAAGCTGTTGCTGTTGAGAAAATGAAAACATCCTGAAAGCATTACTTTATTTGACTGTGTTTACAAAACGAATTGTATGGTTTCGAATGACTGAAAACTCTTCTGATCTTGTTTATCAAAGCAGCACACTTCAAATATTTGGATAAACTGTCTTGAAAAATGTTTGCTATATGGTCTGTTTTATTAAATGTACGAAAATAAATATAAAGTGCAAACGATTTTTTCATTTTCCATGACTTTGGAAATATTATATGAATTTTCGGTTCTTAGCATTATTAACTTCTGACCTAAATTAATGATACCAAGCAGAATAAGTCCTGCGTTGTGTCATGTTTTAGGTAGGTTGCCGTCAAATAACCTTTGATTAAATAAGACTTGTAGAATTTGTTCCATGAAGTCCCCGCCCATTTTTAACATTTAGCAGGTACCTAATTATGTCTTCACCAGGTGATTTACGGATATTTATTTTTCCTAGTGCCACTCTTATTTCTTCTTTGGATATACCAAGATTGCCGTCTGAACCTACATTACAAACGGAATTTTTCTGAGCATCAGGATCCAGCACACTAGAGGGGTACAAAGGAGAATAAAATATTTCTACACGTTTAGAGACTTCGTCTTTTCCAGTCAATATAAGGTTTCCTTATCCTTCATTTTGACAATTCCCCTTTTTCGTGACGAAAGTTTTAATCTAAGAATGTTTAATTTAGAGTTATGCTCGATTAGTGTTTCAATTGTTCACATATCTCCTTACTGCCTTCTGTATTCGCCCGTTGACCACCTGGTACTCTGTTGCATCTCTATATGTTATTTTGCTTTCTTTCATAGATTTTAGTGTGCTTGGCGTTAGCTTATTGTCTCTTGATATTTCATTCGGGAACAAATTGCTTTTTATTGTGTGGATGTCTGTGCTTGTTTTCTCTGAGACATGAGTCAAGTGTATTCCCTTTATGTTGACAATGGGGTTAAATTTCTTCTCCAATTCTTTTTGAATTTCGTTTGCAGTTGGAACAATTTGCTTATTGACAAGTTTCAGTCTTTCAATTCTCAGGTTTAAAGAAACTGTTGTTCTAATCAACCGGTGGTTGATTCCAGTTCAAACTGATTTAAAACTGTTACATCAGTACAGATATTCCTCTTAAGTGAATTTAATCAATCTGTTTTTTTTGGGTTTCTTTAAACACCATTTTTTACATAGTATGATAAAAGGTAAAACTGTTGGTTTAAATTTAAAAATGTTTTAAGACAACTAGTAGTTATTCACGCTGAATAATTTATAAAAGTGCTGAATTCTCTTACTACTTAATACAAATTAAATGTATTTATTTTATTTTTTTAAATTAATATCGGCTACACAAGATGTCTTAGAAAGAGACAAGATACAAGAAAACTAACGAATCAAAATTAAATATTCGTCGTCTCCAATTTCTCGTATATTTTAACTAGGACACCCTATATATTTTTTTAAACTTTTTTTGTTATTAGTGGCAGTGATTCAGCTATTAGTGCCCCCTAACACACTAACTTACCTAATATGGATAAACATTAACTAAAAAAGGGACTTGTATAAGCCGCTAAAAATCCCTTTCAGTAACTAAAAAGATAAAGTTTATTAAAAAATAGCAAATTATCAATTAGTTTATCTTTGTGTCGCTATTTGCTAATTACATTAAGACATTAGGTTGAATTGTCCTAAATAACATGAGCAGAAGCTCTTTCGCCCAAAAGATAACAATGTAATTAAATTTAAACGGTTGGGAGAATAAAGCCGCATCCTTAAAAGCATTTGTCGCAAAGCCGAGTTTCGACCATTTCATGCAAATGTTGGGTCTAACATCCCGACAGGTATGTATAAATGGTAATAAATTTACTGATCTGACTGCTGGATAATCCGAAAAAGTGTTTTATTTAAATTTTTACAGGAATAATCACACCCTTGTCATGGTCGACGATAATTGCCAAGGTGTATTAAATCTTTCGAGCTATTTTTATCTGATGTTGCACGTTCATACTCTGATAAAGTATTATTTAACTTCTATGCTAAAAATAACATGTGAAATAATTGTGTATAAGGCAGTTATTAAACTTTTTGAACCGGTTTATACACACAAATTTTTAAGTTTTCATATGTAATTCTTGGGTCAAGTCACCGAAAACATTTAAAGCGAGTTTTTTTATTTAACGTGGGATTTTTAACACAGACAATGTGCAATAATCCTTGCATAAAGAATTATATTATAAATGTTCCAATGATTAAATACGTTCCAAATAAGTATTTTAAGGATTCAAAAATTCCTAAGTAGTATAATGGGAGCAAACAATATGGTTTTATTTTGCTCATTTTTCAACATAACACCGTCGCCGTTCAAGGGTCTTCTGTGGCTGTCACAGTTAACGCCAAGAAATGCACAATTGAGGAAAACTAATAACGAAACTGAAGAAACTGTGTTTGCAGCTGCGAATAATTTAAATGCCTGCTCTCGTAAAAAGTAAATTGGAATTTTATAGAGAAAAGTGAAAAATCTGACTGACATAAAGCAATGTTAATGACGAATGTCTAATTTAGACAATGAAAAAATAAAATAATTCTTTAAAAATGTGCAAAAACCGTACTTTACTAGTAATGTCTGGTTCAACAAAAATAAATATAGTGTAATAAATATGATAAGTATGAACCAAGGAGTATGAAAAAAAAATCAAATCAATCAATCATTAATAAATTTTAAAATGACGTGTCAAATAATCACAGCAAAAATGCTTAGGACAGACTATAGATTAGAGGGTATAGAATACAGCTTCATAAATTTATCAAGTTAAATTTCCATTTATAAAAAATGTATCAAAAATGTTAGCAAATAGCGTGCCAGCTAACACATTATTCTTTTATTTATTTTAAGAATAAATTGCGTGTAACTTTCGATGAGTGAATGGGATTTGCATCGCTTAAAACCAACACAATGTTAAGGGTTTACTATTTATATTATTCTTATATATTTGTATTTATACGTATTCCGCTTTCTATAATAATTGTTTAAATCGATTCTTCATTTATTGGCAATGTTCCTAACATTCTTCAATTACATTGTATGGCCAACCTACTATTCTGCATCCGAAAATTAGCACGACGTTTTTCTTTGAGTGAACAATAAGCGAAAAAATGGCTATGAAATGA